CCAGGGGCGGGGTGAGCCACCCATGGGGGAAGGGGGCGCTGCATGGAGCCTCTCCACAGCCTCCCCCTAAGCTGTAGGGCGGCTGAGGGAGAGGCGGTGGGCAGATGCAAGATCCATGTTTCTGCTTCAGGCAGCGCCAAGCCTGCAGGCGCTCAAGCCACAACATCACTTCCAGGAGGGACATGTGGCTTGGGCAGTAAGTGCCAGCCCCCATGGTGTGGTGCCCAGTGCCAGCCATGTTTCGTTGCGTTCATTGACTGAACTAAAAAGTTTCATGAGCCCAATTTATTTTATTTTATTATTATTATTAACTCATATATTTGACTTTTTGTCACACACTCCCCCTCAGTGATTGGACCCGGGGTGGCCAGCACCTGCCACACCCCACTTCCTCCATCACTGCCCACAAGAGAGAGAGAGAAAGAGAGAGAGTGCCCGGTAAAAGAGGCAGAAAAATAGAAGCCCTCTTCTGCAGGAGAAAAACTTTTCTATGAATTGAAGGACATGTTCTGGCACAGCACTGGTACATTTCATTTAGCTCCTGCATGAACCACATACAGAGAGGCTCAGATATGCTCCAGAAGAAGCAAGGGAGCAAATTCTGGCAGAGATAAATCCTTTTCAGCCTGTGGGGCTCCCATACCCCATCCCCCCACGCACATCATCCTCTTTTTTTTATCTGAGCTCAACGCCCTCCTTTCATGTTCTTCTGCATTCCCCTCCTCTACACCCGTGGAATGTCCTTCTGCGAAGGTCATAGCATGCCGCAGCCCCTCCGGTTAATGGTACCTTTGACTCGCCCTCTGTTTATGCCTGTCAATGACTCTGTTTGCTTCCCATTACGTGTTTTATGCCACCGTTAACTGCAGCAATGAATTTTATCTCACGCTCCCCACAGAGCATGGGGCGGGTGGAGCATATGGGCCACCATGGCTCCATTTTGCCTGCAGCTTAGGGTCTTTCGAGTTTGATTTGCACTCCCTCCCAGCAATTGGTGTGTTGTTCTTCTTGCTCCCTCTCTCCCTCTCATTAGGGATTACATGCAGGTGTGTTTGTTTGTTTGTTTGTTTGTTTGTTTGCTTGCTTGCTTGCTTGCTTGCTTGCTTGCTAGCTATATAGCAGTGGTTTCCAACCAGTGTGCCGTGGCACCCTGGGGTGCCTTGAATGATGGTCAGGAGTGCCATGAGCAACACTGGCCTCTGTCCCTCTTTCTTTCTTTCCCTCCTCTGATGCCCTCTCTGTCTCCCAAAGACTTGCACAGCTGTTTGTTGCAGCAACCCTAGCTACAAGCTCCCCAGGCAAATGGTATCTCTGGGGCTGGCCAGGAGGTGATTCCCAGGCCCCTGTGGGGCAGTGTGAGGAGGCACCTCTTTTTGGGGGTGGGGGTGGGGACTCAGAGACGAGGGGTGGCAGCAGTGGCTGCCCAGAGGAGCCCCAAGGGAAGGCGAGGAAGCTGAGGGAATACTCCGCAAGGGAGGCTGTTTGAAAAAGGGTGAGAGGCTGCTAGCTCTGCAAGCAAAGGGTAACACAACTGGGCTCTGGAGACCCACAGGGGTGCCATAGACAGAATGCAGTTGGTCAAGGGAGCTGTGGACTCAGAAAGGTTGAAAACCTCTGCTATATAGGGGATCCTGCTCCTCTGTGCTTTCATTAGCAGCATAACTCAGAGGCTCTTATCTCCATGGCTCATCTCTGTACCAGCAAAAGTCTCCCCTGCAAAATTTCCATGTGTTGGGATGATGCTAAAGGTGCACAAACAGAGCCAGCAAAACAAGATGGCAACCCAAGTTGCTAGTATGCTAGGTTTCTATTTGTCTCACTGGTGATAAAGGCAGAGGAATCCAGCCATTTCTCTGCGCACACACATGCATGCAAGCAGGTTGTTTGTCCTGTTTTCACTGCAACTGGACTAGGGAAAAGAGTGGATCTGAACATGTGAGCATTTCTAGGCTGCATCAAAAGAAGCATCATGTCCAATCAAGGGAAGTAATAGTCCTGCTCTATTCTGCCTTGGTCACACCACAGGTGGAATACTCTGTCCAGTTCTGGGCACCACAGTTTAAGAATGATATTGACAATCTGGAATGTTTGTGAAGGAAGGCTACCATGATGATCAAAATTCTGGAAACCAAGCCTTATGAGGAGCAGTTGAGAAAGTTGGAACTATTTAGCCTGCAGAAGAAAAGAATGAGAGATGATATGATACCCATCTTCAGGGACTGTCACATGGAAGATGGAGCAAGCTTGTTTTCTGTTACTCCTGAGGATAGGACCTGAACCAATGGATTGAAATGACAAGAAAGGAGATTGTGACTAAATATTAGGAAGAACTTGTTGATGGTAAGAGCTATTTGGCAGTAGAATTGACTGCCTTGGGAGGTAGTGGACTCTCCTTCTCTGGTGGTTTTTAAACAAGGGTTGCGTGGCCATCTGCATTCCAAAAAAATTGTCCCTGTATATGGAGATCTGCATTGATTGTTGCAATGCACCCCTAACTACATAATTATAAGATGATTTTATAATTGTAGACAGTTGCATCATCTTAGATGGAATGCGCTGTGACAATCATGAAGCGACCCTGCACTTCTGAATTTGCTACTACACTATGGGATAGACAAAGTGTATGATGTGGTATAAAGCGTATCCTATATTCCTAAATCCACAGCTGCTGCTACTTTCCCCCAGGGGACTTTCCCAAAGCGATGTTTACCTTGTATAAGCATGCACACATCCAGCACAATTCCCAGGAACAGAAGCTCTAACAAGCATGTGCTCCAGCTCTGTGTTTTGACTCTTTGTAAACCTTCCTCCCAATTTTGACAATTCTAGGGTGAGGGAGAAAGAGATTTGGAGTCGCCTTTCTGAAATATATATTTTTTCTAGCGCAAGTACACGCATTGAATAGTACGATCACCTCTCTGCCATCCCCTCTACCACTGTCCATCCAGATAATCGCCGTCGCTGGTGCATTTGAGCTGTAGCTCTTCTCTAAATAGAACGAGATCAGTAGTGAAATTAAACATTCTATTAAACATTCAGCACATTAATTCTACATTAAAGCGGAAACTCTTAAGAGTCCGTTTGCCAACCCGCTTATCTTCAGAAGCGGTGCTGCAAAGGCTAATATGCATCAGAGGCTGTGATGGGGGGGGGGGCAAAATGGATGAGGGACGTACACAGAAGGAGCAAAGGACATTTTGGAAGGGAGAGAACTGCCAGGATTTGAACTGAGTGCTAAAGGGCTTTGTTTTGCAGCCAAGCTTTACCCAAGTGACACAGGGCTTATCTATATTTACCTTTCCTCCACTCTTTCCAAGCACAGCCCATGCTTTAAAGCTCCATGTCTGAGCACCCTTTTTCCCCCTCTGGAGCTTTCCCCACAAAAACTGCAGGTGTCCAGAATTGGCATCAGCTGTGTTTATGGTTATGATTAGAAGGCATTAACAGCTGTAGGTTTCCTCAGGTATCATGGTCTGTGTAATGGGAATTGTCCTTGTGAACTGAAAAAATAAAGTCTCGCTCTTTAAAGCTCATTTGGGAGCATCCTGTAATCCATGGCGAAACCCAAATTGATATTTGCTCCAATTGAGTGCTAAAGAGTGGGTTTTCATGTGGAAAGTTCCAGGGGTAGAAAAAGAAAAAGAAATGCTCAAACACGGAGCTTTTAAGTGAGAACCTGTGCCTGGAAAGAGCAGGGTGAAAAGCCCAGTCTTTCTGGGCTTTTGTGTATTCTTGTTTCGGAAAATTGTAGAATCTTACAGTTGGAAGGGATCCCAAGGGTCACTGCACTGCTGCAGTGCAGGAATGCCAACTAAAGCATCCATGATAGATGGCCATCTGATCTCTGCTTAAAAACCTCCGAGGGAGAAGAGTCCACCACATCCTGAGGGAGACCGTTCCACTGTCAAACAGCTCTTACCATCAGAAACTTCTTCTTGATGTTCATTAGGAATCTCCTTTCTTGTAACTTGAAGCCATTGGTTCAGGTCCTACCCTCCAGAGCAGGAGAAAACAAGCTTGCTCCATCCTCCATGTGACAGCCCTTGAGATATTTGAAGATGGCTATCATATCTCCGCTCAGTCTCCTCCTATCCAGGCTAAACATACCCAACTCCCTCACCTCTCCCTCATAAAGCTTGATCATCTTGGTCACCCTCCTCTGCACATGTTTCCTTCAGTCCTGATCCCTGATTTGCTCTCTAGACTTAATGTTTGCCTTTATCCCTATACTGGAACCAAAGGGCTTGCCTCGTTCCAGCTCAGATGATCACTGCATCTGATCTACACGCCAGCCTTCCTCAACATGTTGCCTTTCACAAATGGCTGGAATACATTCCCATCAGCCCCCTCCAGCATGACCTATGACCAAGAATGATGGGAGTTGTAGTCCAATGACAAGTAGAGATCACCAGCTAGAGGAAGACCGGGACACTGAAATATACTCTGAGTCCTGTAGCCATTTCATGCTCTTTATTGCAGCTTGTAAAACAGTGATTCAATTGCCCCCCAAACCTCAGGCTTTTATATACATTATTTACACAATGAGTCCTGTCTGATTGGCTGATTCTGCTTCCCTCCTGGAGCCTGATTGGTCTTTTCCTGCAGGCCAATCAGTTATTGCATTCTACGATCCTACAAGCCTAAGAGGCTGATTAATTTCTTCCTGGAGCCTGATTGGTCTTCTCCTGCAAGTCAATCAGTTGTTGCATTCTACGATCCTACTTGCCTATTGTTCTAGGATCCAAGCTTATTGCATAACAGATACACAGACTGACAGAGGTTCTCCTGGGTCTCAGGCAGAGGTCTCTCCCCTGGCAGAAAGCTTGGTGTCTGGTTCCTGGCTTGGTTCGGTCTGAGGCCTAAAATTCATCCCTGCAGTCAACACAGACACTGCTCATCTTCACTCTCCCCCTGCCTGCTCCAGCTTCATTCACTGACCTGGGAGGCCCTTCTCTGAATTCTGGGAACTACTAGTTCTTCTTTATCCAAGGAAGGGCCATGAACTCAGCAGCAGAGCTTCTGCCTTGCATGCAGAAGGCCTTGGATTCAATCTCCAGCATCTCCAGGCAGGGCTTGGGATGTCCCCTGGCTGAAACCCTGGAGAGCAGCTTCCAGGAAGTGGTGACAACCCTGAACCAGATGGACCAAGGATCTAACTCAATCGGAGGCAGCTTCCTATGTTCATCTCTCTGCCCCAGCTGACTGCCTTTCTGAACTGAACTGAACTCAGTTTCCCCCTCTGACTTCAGAGGCACTAAATCAGGCACTTTGGCCTGACCTTTTCACCTTGGGAAGATGCAGGTCCTTCTCCACTCCCTCTTCCCTGCCCCCTTTGACCCAGCAGGGTAGAATTGCTTCTGCTCAGGACTTCATTGCTACTTTCTGTGCTTCAACCAGAAGTTTAAAGGTGCAAGGGGCATCTTCCTCAGCATTATTTCCACTGAAAACTGCCTTATTCTGAATTAGACCATTAGTATTGTCTACCCCGACTGGCAGCAGCTCTCCAGGGTTTCAGACATGGGGAACTCCCAGCCCTACCTGGAGATGCCAGGGATTGAACCTGAGACCTTCTGCCTGTGAAGCAGGTTGCTCTCCTTCTGAGCAATTCACTTAAAAATAAAGTAAGATTCTAGTCCTCATGCCTCTGGATAAAAAGCTGAATTAAATAGGAACCAAGCCTTATACTGAGTCGGACCAGTGGTCCATCTAGCTTAGTATTGTCTACACTGACTGGCAGCAGCTCTCCAGAGTTTCAGGCAGAGGGAATATACAGCCCTGCTTGGAGATGCTGAGGACTGACCAGTCTGGACAGCTTCGTTGGTAGAGACTCAGGCATTGCAGGAGGTTGGACTAGATGACCCCTGTGGCTCCTCTATGATTCTATGAGACCCTTTCCCTGAACAAGCCCACATCTCCTTGGGAATGCCTTTGTTTGTGGTCAGCTCACCTGGTACATTTTGCTTCGAGCCGGAGAAAGCAAGTTTTATGGCTGAAAGGTTAGGGATTTTTGAGGCATTCCATTTTTCGCATCATCAATCCATATTGTATGGTCACTGGAGTAGAGGGGATGCGGGGGGAGAGGCAGTGAGAGAGAGAGCACAGTACTCACCAAAAGGGCAGAGCTGTTATGAGATAATGGAAAACCATTTAGCAGGAAGGAGGAGAAAGTGAGTGTGTGTTTTAAACTTCACTATGAAAGAAAATAAAGGGGCAGAGCGATATAGGGATTGCTGTGCCTTGAGCACAACCAGGACCCACCCCCTGCAGAAACCAACAATGCTGGAGATGAAATACACACAGAAGGCCTGGCAGTGATTAAACGCACACACACAAATGCACCATTCTTTATTCCTTAGTACTCAGAGGCTTACCACTGGAACACCTCTACCAAGGATATCTTCCTTAGCCCAGGAGCGAAGGAAGGGGGTGCAGTAGGGGCGGGTCGCCCCAGGTGTCACCACTGAGGGGGGTGACAAAATGCTGGAGGGCACTCCCCAGGGGCCTGTAGCACACCCGAGTCATGCGTCTCTCCTGGGAGAGACACAGTGGCTTGAGTGCGCAGGCTCGTCACTGCCCAAACGGTCCGCCCGCTGCCTCTCCCTCAGCTGTAGGGCGGCTGAGTAGGAGGAGGCAGGCAGACTCCTTGGAGGCCCCACGGAGCATCCTGCCCCAGCTTGGCCCGCCCTGCATGTGGCTGGCCCCGCCCCTGGGCACAGGGCATGCGTGCTGCCCCAGGCGCCTGATTGGCTTGCTCCGCCACTGCCTTAGACCTCATCCAGCAGTGTAGTGTCGAATTCAGAAGTGCAGGGTCAGAGCCACACCTCCTCACAGCCGTGTTCCATCTAAGATTATACAGCCTTCTGTGATTATACAATAACCTCATAATTGCACAATAATCTTAATGAGGGATTCATTGCAAGGATCAAGGCAGATCTCCATGTGTTGCCTAGATCTATTTTTTCTGCAGGCAGGGTCAAAACTAGGCTTTATTTCACCCAGGGCAAAGACCCAGTTTGCACCCATGCACATTTGCATACACAGAGAGAGGCTTGGCACCTCAGTGACACCCCTTTGGAGGCTTCACCTGAGGCAAAAAACCTGACTATCACCCCACCCTGGTAGCAACGGCTCTGGTGCATGGAAATTAAGTTGAGTTTTCAATGAACTTCCATCGTGGATATCAGAACTTAACACACCATTTTCTTAAAATGGGTGCACTTTGGCTTCTGGTTCCTGTCTGTGGCTATGGCAGCACCTCTCCTGTTTGTGGGAGAGACTCAGGCCAAGGGGAGGGGGTTACCTGAGGCTGTAAAACTTCTTAGGAAATTTAGGGGACCAGGGCACCTGTAGTTGTCTTTTGAAGTGAGGGGGGCAGAGATGCTGGGTCTCAAGCTCTCCATCACAGAGACAGTCTCCAAGTCTGTCATGACAAGCGGAAGAGCTCTTATGCAATTTGGAACATGTCTGTGGAAAATTCTCATGTGGGACCCAGCATAACAGCACTCTCCCCTCTACAACTGATATTCAGAAGCATCACTGCCTCTGACTAAGGCAGTAAAAGTCCACCCAGTTTGACTTTTTAGTGGTCTTCTTTCACAGCCAGAATCACAGGGTTGGACCCCACAAAACCCATTTGGTCCAGCCCCAATCTCATTACAGTATCATAGGCCCTAAACAGTATTACAAACACAGGTCCCAACATTACAACTTCAGCTTTTCCCTGTGAAAACTGTGGTATTTGGAGGTGTGTCTAAAATATATATCTTGGACGAAGAGGTTAAACAAATAATTGCAAAGACTCAAAGTGTGCAAACGTTTCAAATTTCACTATCCAGATTTTGAAATTTCATTCTGGATATGAAATTTTGCTCCAAATATTGGGTTGATTAAGATTGGCTGACAGTACTTGGTGGGTTTTCATTTTGTCAGGCATCGAATATGAAACCTTCTAACTGGCAAACACTAAACACCACTGAGCACTAACCATCTCATATGATAAAATGCTATAGACCACTGCACGTTGGCAGTCAAGAAAATTACTAAATCCCATCCCTTGGCTGCTGTCAAGTATGAAACATTGCTGCATGTCAAGCAATCAAATGCCATCAATTGCCAGATGCAATAACGTCCCAGCAATCAAATATCAAAATCTATATCCAAGGACATAGCATGAAATAAAATTTAAGCAAGCATCAAACGGGGATATCAAATATGCAAAAACTGAGGGTTGTTTGCAGAATATTCCACAACAAAATTTGCAGAGGAGATATTTGGTGGATGGGACTGATTCCTAGCCTGCCTCAGCCTTCCCCAACCTAGTGCCTTCCGGACGCTATGCTTTCCAACTCTCATCAGCCCCAGCCTGCATGACCAGGATCAGTGAGAGTTTCAATGTGAAATATCTGGAGAGCACCAGGTTGGGGAAATCTGCTGTAGCTGGAAGGAATGTGGGAGGTGACTTGTTAGCTGCATCAGGTTCTGATGTATTTTGAAATGCAAATAGAGACCTTGTATCCATCGTATTCTTTGTGTGGTTTCTCCCCCGCTGTCCCCTGAGCCTGCACAGAGGTGGGTTGGAGAGCTCTCTGCCTGAAGCAGCTTCTGTGTTTTTCCTTCCCTTTGTGTTCCTAGACATTGTTAAGTACTCGTTGTACCTGGGCGTTTGTGTCTGGTTTGGTTTTTTTTCTACTGGTGCACACCACCCCCCCTTTTGCAAACCAGAGTCTGGCTTTCCACATTCCTCTTCTTGTTGTTGTTTTTAACAGATGGCATACAAGATTGCCATTAACAACCCCAACCATTCTTGCCCAAGTTCTGTCTTGGTTTTGGGGACTCCAACAGCTTTCATATAGACCTTGCAGACAGTCTGCCAATTGATAGCTATAGCGACTAATAATAATAATAATAATAATAATAATAATAATTTATTATGTATACCCCACCGAGCAATGGGACCGAGCAATGGGAGCTCACCCCATTGTGGGGATTCAAACTGCTGACCTTCTGATTGGCAAGCCCTAGGCTCTGTGGTTTAGACCACAGCGCCACCCATATTATATAGGTGATATAAGGTAAAGGTAGAGGGACTCCTGACCATTAGATCCAGTTGTGACCGACTCTGGGGTTGTGGCGCTCATCTCGCTTTATTGGCCAAGGGAGCCAGCGCACAGCTTCCGGGTCATGTGGCCAGCATGACTAAGCCGCTTCTGGAGAACCAGAGCAGCGCATGGAAACATCGTTTACCTTCCTGCCGGAGCGGTACCTATTTATCTACTTGCACTTTGATGTGCTTTCGAACTGCTAGGTTGGCAGGAGCAGGGGCTGAGCAAAGGGAGCTCACCCCGTCGCGGGGATTCGAAGTGCTGACCTTCTGATCGGCAAGCCCTAGTCTAAACCACAGAGCCACCCACATCATACAGGTGATATAGGTGACGGCAAAAACACACCACATAGGAACATAACAAGCTCTCTTGTGCCAGGCAAGGTCTTTCTTGCTCAGTTTTGACTGGCAGAAGCTCTCCAGGGTTTCAGGCAGGGAACATTCCCAACCATACCCAGAGAGGCTAGGGACTGAGCCTGAGGCCTTCTGCATTCAAAGCAAGATGCCTTGTCACTGAGCGATGGCATTCCCTGGCAGATCAAGCCATTTTGAGTAGTTAGACAGGCAAACACGTGCAGAGCCTGTAAGTAATGTTTCAAAGGAGTCCTCCCCCTTCAGCCTGCATTTTATTATTTATTTATTGCATTTAGAACACACTTTTTTTCTCCAAGAATTTCAAGGTGGCCTACATGGTTCTTTCCCTTCTCATTTTAATCCTCCACAACAACCCTGTGGGGTGGGTTAGGCTGAGAGGCAGGGAGTAAGTAGCCCAAGGATACCCAGTGAGCTTCATGGCCAAGCAAGGATTTGAACCCTGGTCTCCCAGGTCCCAGTCTGATGCTCTAACCACTGAACCAACACTGCCTCTAATTACAATCTAATTCTATATTAGATTGTTTGAGCACCACATTTGCACTTCTCCTCTCCAAAGGACCTCAAAGAAGTAGACATACCTACCATGTCCTTAGGAACACAGGAAGCTGCCTTATTATGAGTTAGACCATTAGACCATCTAGTTCAGTGTTGTCTACACTGACTGGCAGCAGCTCCCCAGGGTTTCAGGCAAGAATCTGTCCCAGCCCTGTGTGGAGATGCCAGAGATTGAAATTGGGATCTTTTGCTTTGAACTGTTTTGAACTTCTTGGATGGAGCATTCTCTCCTTTGATTTCATGGATCTAGATCTTAAAGCAAGAACTCCTTGCAAGACCTCAGTTCATGCGAAGAATAAAACACCATTTACTAAACCTGCCAAGCAAATGTCCTTTGGAGAACTCAGATCCTTTACCAGCAAGAAAAGCATGTGTTAAAATTTACTAACTCACAGAACAGACTTTAATCTACTCTTTTGTAACTTCTGGAAGCTGAGATCTATGCTTCAATTTATGCCTTGTTAAGCATTGCAGCATTTGGTTAACACACTTTTAGAATATTATCCACTTGAACGTAACAATAAGCGTTAAAAGGATTTGCTCTGCTTTTCTCAGTTTTCATTTTCATCATGGGTCAAGTTACAAAGACTATGTGGGGGGAAATCAAGGTCAGGGAGACCATCAAGGGAATTAAAAATTCATTCCCATCCCAATATATCTATATCTATCTATATTGGGCATCCTGTATCCAGGATGGAAGTCATCCCTATTGGACAAAGCAGCTGCATCCATACTGTCCAAGCCTCTGCTGGACAAGAGATGAAGCCAGCAGCTTAAGACACTGCTGTTCAGACACTAGATGGTGCTAGAAAGTTGTGCTTCTGCTCTTCTCATCTTCCCTTATAAAGGCAGAAGAGAGGAGGAATGCAAAGTCTTTGCAGATTCAGAACCCTGCCTGGGAGGATTGAGAACAGATTTCCCTGTGCAAAGAGTTTGCATTGTTATTGTTTTCCTTTGCAGCTTGGGCATGCCTGATGTACGGGCTTAGGCATCTGAGGAGGCTGCAGTTTCTGACTCAGTGGCATTCAAGTCCCCATAAGCTCAGTGGGGCTTGCTCCATCAGAAGTGTGCTCACAATTGCAGAGTGCCTTATTAAAATCGCAGACAGACCGCACAGAGAGAAGAATGGAGCTAATTGATTGAGAGTGGTGCTCGAAAGATATTATAAGCATCCATGCAGCTGGCAGAGTCTTCCCGGGGGTCTCCTCCTGCTGATCTCACAAAGGAAGAGGCAGGGGGAGTAGTATAAAGATGTTCTTGACTTCCCAAAGCATCTTCAGAGCCTTGGATGCAGAAACAGAGCCGGCCCTAGCATTGGACATAGTGCAGCAGCTGCCTCGGGGGGCAAATGCTGAGGGGTAGGCAGTGGCGGAAAGGTATTAAATTACAGTGCTGAGTGCTGCCATTAAGCTTGGCCTATAGTGGAAGTTGCAATCCCATTGCCATCCTGAAATACAATTCAACTGTCCTCTGGCCACCTTCTGGACCTGGAGTGGCAGGCTGCGTCATCTTAACCTAATATTGGAAGAAGAATCCTGCTGGATCAGGCCAATGACCCATCTTGTCCAGCATACTGTACTCATCATAGTGGCCAACCAGATGCCTGCTGCAAACCCTCAAGCAGGACCGGAATACAAGAGCGCTCTCTTCTTCTACCAGAAACTGGTATTCAGAGGCATACTGAATACAGTGGAAGTACAGCATAACCATTATAACTAGGGCCAGGGCCTTTTCAGTACTGGCCCCGACTTGGTGGCCAACGCTCTGTCACAAGAGACTAGGGCCCTGCGGGACTTGACATCCTTCCGCAGGGCCTGCAAGACAGAGCTGTTCCACCTGGCCTTTGGTTTGGACTCAGTCTGACCCTTATGTTTCCCTCTCCTTATGGTTTTGATCTATGGGCTATTATTAAAATGAGGCTGCATTTTAAATTGTATTTTTAACCTGCATTTTAAATTGTTTTTTTCCCTATAATGTTTTTATTGTAATTTTACTGGTGTTAGCCACCGTGAGCCCAGCTCTGGCCAGGGAGGGTGGGGTATAAATAGAAAAAATTATTATTATTATTATTATTATTATTATTATTGCTACTTGCTTATTGCTTCAGGCAACAAGAGACTCCAGACCAGCCCTGGGGAGAAAGATGAACAGAAGGAGCTCCCAGACTGATGCGGGATTCAGTCACATGCCAGCAAATTCTCAGACCCTCCAACATTTCTCTGAAGAAAATAGGGAAGTCCTATTTAATAACAATAATTTTACTATTTATACCCTGCCCAGCTGTCTGCGTTGCCGCAGCCACTCTGGGCAGTTTCCAGCAGATACAAAATAATAATAATAAAACATTAACCTTTAAACAAAAAACTTCCCTATACAGGGCTGCCTTCACATGGCTCAGGGGTCGGTTAACTCCATACCCTCCAACATTTCTAATAGCAACATCCTAAGGAAAAGCAGGGCATTCTGGGATCAAATCAGAAACTGGGATGGCTTCTATAAATCTGGGGTTGTCCCTGGAAAATAGGGACACTTGGAGGATCTGAATTCAGGAGAGCGGAGAGATGCAGGCATCAAAAAGCCACATAACCTGAGTATTACTGAGAGAATGTGCGTGAAGCAAGTTGAAGACTACAAAGCACAACAGAAACAGTTTGTAGTCAAATGCTTTCTTCTTGCAACGACCCTGCAGGGTAGGCTAGCCTGTGTGGAAATCTCTTGCAGCAGATTTTGCCAGCAGATAATTAGGATTACCTCCCAAGTGAAGAAACTAGCCCTTGGCTGACACCCTTGTGTAGGCCAAAAGTGTTTCAGCTTGTTCACCGTTCCTCCATCTGTGGATGCATTAATGTGTTTACAGACGACGGAGCGAAAATAAAGCTGGCGCTGGCATTCAGATTCTGTTTGACACGGCGCTCTGCTCTGATTTGGAATGTTTATAAACACCAAAAGGTAATGTAATCAAGTACAGCAGGAAATAAGCACGGCAGGTACTCAGCGGTGACAAGAGTGTCAAATATTTTCTCCCGCGTAGAGCAGTGGGGCTGCCCTCAGAACAAAAGCGTCGGCCAAGCCCCAGGGAGGAGGAGTGTTCCGGAGAGCAATTTCTTCCCCTTTCAGCCTCCATGCTAATATTAGTAATAATAATAATAATGTCATCCATTTCCACAGTGCTTTTTCACCCCTATGGAGTGCTCTGCTAATGCAATGTCGGCAGAAAACTCACCAAACGCACATGAATGACTTCTCTGTTGGACGGATGCAGAATAAACAATGCAGAGATTTTGAACCTCAGAAGGTGAGAAGAGGTAGGAGGCAGATTCAATTGTTCCATGCACCTCAGTCCCAGAGATTTAAGCACATATATGGGTTCGATTTCCTTTGGAAGACAGCCATCACAGGAGGCTTATTAGTGTTTTGTAACATTTGCGTTTATTTACAAATTTGCAGGTTGATCATTGGTGGAAGCTTGCAGCTTAAAACTCCAACAGACACTTCCTAAACCTCTCCAAGTTCCTGCACATATTTGTGAAAAATAGCGTACAAAAAGGCATTATATTAGGGGAAGGTGATTTGCAAAAACGTTTATGTTAGTATAAATTTGCACTAAAGTGTTGGTGAATTTTCACGAGGGCTTTAAAAAAAATAATCACCAACTGATGTGGAAATGTGGAGAAATGGACTCAATAATGTGAAACAGGGAAGCAGAAAGCAACAGATTTGCCCACCCCCTAGCTGAATTGTCAGACCATCACATTGCTCATGTGAGATGAGACACACCAGTTTCTACGTGCTGACATGTTCTTTATCTTTCCCCAGACCAAGTCTTGTTACATGCTTTAATTGCAATTTCAAGAACTTCATGAGCATGACAGGGCTGATAAGAGATGGCCAATTTACTTAGTACAATACAGCTAGTCTCTGAGGCTCGGGCAAATTTTACAGCGCGGTTATGGTTTTCCATCTCATAGAGAGTTTAACTCGTTGCCATGTAACATGAGGCACTCAATGCCCTCCACTTAAAAGTCTTGCTCAGTGAGGATTGGCCAATACACCCCCAGATTAAAAGGAGATGGCTTTTATATGGTGATGGAGTATTGACATTGCAATGGTGAGAGGGCTATTGATGGCTACTAGATAGGATGGCTACGCTCCACAGTAACGCTTCTGACTACCAATTGCCAGAAGGCACAAGAGGGGAGGGTATTCCTGTGCTCCAATCCTGCTTGCTGGTTTCCCATAAATATCTGATTGGCCACTGTGAGAACAGGATGCTAGACTAGATGGGCCATTGGCTTAATCCAGCAGGCTCTTCTTATGTTGTTACGCTGAAACTTAATTGATTTTACGCCAGCTAATTACTATTTACTGGCTACAGTAATCCATGCTCTATAATGTCAAGGATGGACTTCTGCAATGCACTGTACACAGGGCTGCCTTTCAAAACCACTCAGAACCTTCAATTAGTGCAGAATGCAGCTTCCCAACTGTTGACAGGTTTGTGACAAATAGATCATATAACACCAGTTCTGTTCCAACGACGCTGACTGCCAATATGCTTCTGAGCCCAAAACCAAAGTGCTGGTTTTAACCCATAAAGCTCTTTACAGCTCATGACCCAAATAATTTCAGAGTCAACTCTCCTGGTATGAGACTACTTGGACCCTTAGATCTTTGTCTAAGGTTCTTCATCTGAGGGATGACGAGAGGGTGGTGACAAGGGAGAGGGCCTTCTCTGTTGTGGCTCTCTATGGAATGCTCTCCCCAATGTTGTCTGCCAAGCACCTTCATTGACAGCTATTAGGCACCAGATAAAGACTTACCTTCTTTCCTAGGCTTTTTAATAGACTAAGATGATCTTTCCTTACCAGCATTCTGCCAAACTTTCCTGTGACGGCAATTGTTTTGCTCTGTCTTTATGGTATACAATGTATTTAT